CCCCAAAGCTCCAGTAATGGCTCTCCAAATGGCAAGAGAAGCCGTGCCAGCTAACTATGCCCGGGCTCAAGATGGCCCTGGGCAGACCAGACTGAGGCCAGAAAGACCCTGACCCCAGGGCTGCTGGATCCACAGGCAGTGCCTCCCCTGCCAGGCCTCCCCTAGCCTTACCCCATCCATCCCCCAGCCCCATGCTGTCCCCTCACATACAAGCCACCACAGAGGAACGCACACTGGCAGGTGGCATTCCATGTGGCCCTGTGGGCACACGGCCCACAATGAGTCCATTTTCAAAGGCCCCAGGAGCCACAGATCAGGTTTCTCACCTGATTCGAAACATCGTCAGCCAGTAATTCAAGGCATTGAACACAGCCCCAAGAACACCACCTGCGGCCAGGAAGGAGTCCGGTGTAAGGACGGCTGGGCTGTCCCGCAGCAGAGGGACTGGGAGGGGTCTGTGGAAATACCCGCGCTCCATCACCACTGATGGACAGACAGAGGGGCTTATCTCTGAAAGGCTTTGCCTTCCTTTCAGGGAAAGGTTTTGAGAGTAATGGATCCTGTCGAGGGGCCAGTCCACTTCTTAGATGGGCTTCCCAATGGAGAAGCAGAGCTCTGGTTTCTTTATGGTACGGGTTTCTCCCGAGGTGGCCCTGGAGGAGCCATTTCAAAGCGGGCCCTGACCCCACCACATGCTTTGTTCCCCCTGGGGGCCGCCATCTCGAGTGATGGAGAAGTGTGGGGCCAGGTGGGTTGGTGTCCTTCTGGGGATGGCCCTTACCCACCACGCCCATGGCAATGAAGATGGGGATCTCGTGGATCGTGTACACCATCGTCTGTGCAAAGAGGAAGAGCAGATGTTCTGTGAGGAAATGTGTCATCAGCTTCTTGCCACTCAGACTTGACAGATGGGGAGGCAAGGGGGACAGGAGGGAGAGACCTAGGAACACGTCTAGTGACCCAAACAACCCAAGAGCTCCACTGTGTCCCTGTGCAAGGACGTCCCGGGAGCAGGACCCCCTTGCTGTGTCTGGCAACTGCAGTGTCTGGTCCCGGCCTTCCTAGGGGCGCCGGCCTCTCCTACTCACCCTCCCTAAGCTGGTGCAAGAGCGCCCAGGACCACAGTCTGTGTCACTGTCCAACAATCCACAGATGGTGGAGACAACCCTGAAGGTGCCCCTGGGCTGGCTACCGGGGCATCCTCCCCTGCACGCCAGGTTGGATGTGTGCTTCCCAAGAGCACCCCTGGCCCTGGTGCTTATGAACAGAGCTCAATCTCAGCGAAGAGATGGAGTTTCCCAGAAGCCCCAGGTCTCGGGCTGAACCTTAAGTAAACAGCCGTGGCCGCGCACGGAGAACCAGAAACAGTGACTGGGACAACGGGCCACATTACCTCTGTGTCAAACCTTCCAAAATTGATGAGGCCGGGGCTGGACAGGTCCCAGATGTTTCCATGGTAGATGCTTAAGACGAAGTTCAGTGTGAAGGTGGAAATCATGGAAGCAAAGAACTGTGGGCAGAGAGAGAAACAAGCACCATCAGAACAACAGTGCCCACCGAGAGGAGCCTGGGAGCTGGGGAGGGGCTGCGGGAGAAGGGGCTGCCTCTCCTTTCACTCAGGAGGCACCTGGAGCCCCTCCAGAAGCTAAAGGACAGGGGGCTGGGCAAGCCAGGCGAGTGTGGGGTCAAGCCAGGACAGAGCCGAGGAAAGGTGTATGAGGTCTGGGGGTTCCCAATGAGGAGTTGAAGGAGCCCCAGGGTGGAACAGTGACCTGACTGACAGGGGAAGGGCTGGAGGCAACACTTCAGGGTCAAGTGAGGTAGAGCTGGGCCATAAAAATCCAACGGGGCATGGCTCCAACCACAGCTCAACAGGCCCCTCAGGCGAGGGCACCGAAGCGTGGGCCCAGAGTGTGGTGTCTACTGGACCACGGAGGACACCAAAGTGAGACGTGGGCCCTGCCTGACCTGGGGAGAGGCGCCGTCTGTGGGCACTTACGATTCTCCACGTCAGGAACTGGTTCCAGAAGGAGGCACCTTCCTCCAAGCTGAAGAGGACCCCGCCTGGAACGCAGTGGCCCAGCCTGAAGTTTCTACCCAGGCACAGGGAGCCCCGCACCCAGAGCCCCTCACAACCAGACCCACGGCACCAAGCCCACATGAGAGGCAGCCATGGGGCCTTTCGGGAGGCACCCCACATCCTCACCACCACCCAGCACCGAAGTCTGCAAACACCCAAACTATTCCTTCTCAAGGCACGGACAGCCTGGCTTGCCCAACACAGGCCGTCACTTGTCAACCAGGCAGGGCCCCTGCTCACCCACAGGGGCCCCAAACGCAGCAGACACTCCAGCCGCGGCTCCTGCCGAGACAAAGTCCCGCTTCTCCGTGTCTCTGCGGAAGTACTCAAAGATCTGCAATGGGGCAGAACAGACAGGAGCAGGGCATTAGCCAGCTTCCCCAAGGGCACTTCTCAGAAAGGGACGGGGAGGGAGGCGGTGGAGGGAGAGGAAGAGTCTCTAGACAGTCAACTCATCAACTCCTGGGCTCACAAAGACTGCAGAACCGAAGAGGCAACAAGAGAGAGCTTCCTTGCACACCAACAACCACGAGAAAATAATGAAGAGACTCTATCGCAAGAATTAAACCTTAGGCCCTGGCAAGTGTGAGTAGAGCGTCGGCCCACGCACCAAAGGGTCTCGGGTTCCATTCCCAGTCAAGGGTTCTATCACAAGAATTAAACTTTAGGCCCTGGCCGGTGTTGCTCAATGGGTAGAGCGTCGGCCCACGCACCAAAGGGTCTCGGGTTCCATTCCCAGTCAAGGGCAGTTACCTGGGTTACAGGTTCAATCCCTGGCCCTAGGGGGGCATGTGGGAGGCAAACAATCAGTGTGTCTCTCTCACATTGATGTTTCTAGCTCTATCCCTTCCTTCCTCCCTCTCTTTCTAAAAATCAACAGAGAAAATAAACTGATGGATAAAATAGATCCAAAGACATAGAAGCATAGAACAGACTGATGAATCTCAGAAGGCAGGGGTGGGGGGTGAGGAGGTAGAGATTAACCGGGGAACTTATATGCATAGCCCATGGACTCAGAAAATACGCTGGTGAAGGCCTGGGAGGGGTAGTTATGGGGTGGAGGGGGTCAATGGGAAAAATAGAGAACTTCTGTAACACTTTTAACAATAAAGATAAATTAAAAATAAAAAAAACTAAAAAAAAGAGATCAGTAGAAAAATATTCTCGAGTGAGGATTAACAACAACAACAACAACAAAAAAAAAAAAACCTTAAGTGTATTCTTGATTTTAAAAGACTGTTCTGTAAAAAAATGTTAACTGTCTCCAAATTCGTATATACATTCAGTGCAATGCCCATCAAAAAGCTGGTGGCTTTCTGGGGAAATGTGACAACATTATTCTGAAGTGTATCTTAGATATTAAGCATCTTCTGTCTGCCAGCACGTCACTCCTGACCTCTTTCTAGGTCACACAGCCTTTTGAGATGGCCATTTCCTCAGGAAAATGCACATCCACCCAAAACCCTGTGAACCAGGCTCCCAGCAGTCTCCTTGGCAGGCCAGGAGAGCCACCCAGGACAGAACTCTGTGGAGACCCTCAGATGCGAAGTCAGGATGGTCTTGATACAGAGCAGGAAGGACCCGCCTTCCAAGGAACATTCATGGTCACCCTCATTATCGACATCTGCATCAGGAGAGGACTCACCTTGAAATCTCGCTTCAGTGACGTTGACCTCCCCTGGGAAACCCCAGCAGCAATCACGGAGCCCGAGTGAATCATCGGCCCCTCCTGGAAAGTGCAGGACAGCCCCATCAGGCGAGTTCAGGAGAACATGGAGGGCAGAGGGACTCAGGCCCGAGCAGCGCTCCTCGGGCTGCATTACCTTTCCCACCGCCAGTCCTCCCACCACGGACAGGATCACACCAGATACTTTAATCACCAGCGTCTGGAACACAAAGGAAAGAGTGTCAAGTCTCTGATTACAGACTGCACGCTGTCTGAGAACCTGAGCCACAGCCCTGCACACAAAGCAAGACTAGTAACATAACAACCAGCACCCATGAGCGACAAAGAGGCACTCGGAGGGGCCAGCACAACCGCTCCCCCTGACGTCACTCTGCTCCCCCAGTGTGTCCAGGCCCCCAGGAGCGCCTGCTCCCCAGATGGGGGCGGGAGAAAAGCATCGGCTGAGGCACGCAGACC